TGCAATTCAATTCCATTGATTCGTCTCACGTTAACTGGCGAACTTATATACAGGAATAGATGGCGCCTAGCACATACTGGATTGTTCGTGACTACCGCTGTTGTAACACCTACTTTACCTCTTACATATTGACAGGGTCGGATTAAAGTTCATTGGGGCCGTAAGCCCAGGTAATATTTGGTAATAATAATAACTCACTATTCTGCTAGTTTTACGAACCATAATTTTCTTACTTGAATTGCCAGCGTGGCCCCTGTATGGTCCTAAGACCGGGCCTAGGTGGCCAATGTGTCAATCCAGTAGTATATATAGATTAAGTGCATTGAATTTAATATTAGCTAATCCATCTGCCCAAGAAGCGTCCATTTTTAGTAACTGTATCTGTACTTTTCTTAAAAAGATAAATCATGTTGTTCCATATTAGATTAGCGTTAAATAGTTATAACATCTGAAATAGCGGGTAATTATCTAAACTGTTTCAGTTTTAGGAACATTGGAGAGAATATTTTTGCATAAAGTTTAGTATCATATTGTAATAATCTACTATACAAAGACGAAAAGCCGCCCGTCTGTCATTTAGATATCTCGGTAGTTGCGTTACCGATCGTCACGCAATTTGTACGCAACGCCAGCGCTTTCTGCCGCTACAGCAAGTTTATCGTTTTAAATTTTTCCCAGCATATATATATAAAACGGACAATGCGCTATTTGGGCATATAATTAGATTTGAGTGTAGGTTGGTAAAGATCGTGATGAATAATAAAATCGAATTGGGTATATGCGCGCCCTACGCTTGGTACGCTGGCGCACAAAAATCATAATTATTGGTTGAAACTTACCATTACATGTGCTTAGTTGTCAAGGAGACGCATTGACGCAACATCACCAAATTTTGTCCAATCAGAACCCTCGACTGCAACTATATAATAATCCACATGTTTTACACGCAGCACGTTTCAATTTTGAAAATGCCCAGATTTAGAGAGCGCTTCTTCGGCTCAGCATGCTAAAAAAGCCAAAACCAGGAAGTCAGTCCAAAGAAAAGACCCCGAAACTCATGATAAAATTCACTACTTAACCATTACAATTAATAATTTGAAGGGTCATACAGTTGACCAAGTAGGAACATGCCTTTGAGAATCAGTTTTTTCGCATGTTTCAGTCTACAAGGATTTATCAAGAAGAACATTTGAACATAATTTTAAAATATACAGAAGTCAAAATGCTAATCAATCAATACTTAAAGCAGGTGACCAAATATACACTGAGTGGTCACAAGTAAATAGACACCTCATTTTTGGTCATTTAACTGATTTATGCTAACTAATTTGTGTTCACAGAGCACTATATAGATGAGAATGGTCCGCACACTAATTACCTTGTGCTATAACATGCCTAGAGCTCAAGGTTTACTCGAATTGTGAGATTTTGTTAGAGGAAGGATAGTTGGTCAAGCAGATGGTGGAATAAGTCAGCGGCAAATTTCGCAGAATTTGGGAATCCCGCTTTCGACAGTCAAAAGAATCATCGTGCAGTTCAGGAAACACGGCAAGGAAACAACTGAGCAGCGCCCGGGTCGTCCTGGTCCATCGGAGAGGA